ATTGAATAAGAAAGATAAGACCCCTGAGGAGCTTAATTGTGCCCTCATTTGGACACCAGATAAATGGCCTCCAGAGACAGACTATCTGTTCCTAAGTAAGCAACCTGAACAGGTGGAGAATAAATCTGACAAAGAAAAAGAACAATTAAAGGAACCGGAACTAATAACAGAAGAAAGAGACAGAAGGGAGAGAGAAGACTTTAATATTACTTGCCTCCTCCCTATAACCCCCAACAATTGCCTCAGGTTTTACCTCAGGCTTTACCCCAAGTCTTGCCCCAGGCTTTGACTCAGATTGTGCCTCAAGTTCGGCCCCTGGAACAACCTGAACAATTAAGAAGAGAGAGAGGTGTAGGAGAGATTTGGACAATTTCCCTCTTGCAAGTGGTACAACTGAAACTGAGCGTGATTTGAGACAGCAAAGAAGAATCAAATTGAAGCAGTTAGAAGATATTGAGGTAGAATTGTTTCCATTGAGAGAGAGAGAGACTAATATGAAAGGGACTTAGACAATTTGCCTTTTGCAAACTGTGAAATGGAAACAGACAATAGTCACCAACATCAGAGAAGGGAAAGACCAAGAGATTGTAATGAACTAGAAGAAAATAAACTATGCCCCTTAAGGGAAGTGGCAAGTGGTGTGCACGGAAACTTTCTCTGGTGGGTTATGTCCAAGACCTTTTAAGAAGTAGTGAAGTCAAGATGCTTAAAAAAGAATTAAAGAAATTAATAGAGGATCCAACAGGTGTAGCAGAACAACTTGACCAGTTACTAGAACCCACATGGGATGAACTTACTTCCATTATGAAAATTTATTCAACCCAAAGGAAAGAGACCTAATTAGGAAAGCTGCCATAAGAGTATATAACAGGGAGAATGGAAATAATGCTGATGGAGAAAGAAAATACCCAATTGCTAGGCCAAATTGGAATAAACAATGTACTAGCAGATAGATAAAATATGGAAAACCTTAGAAACATGATCATAAAGGGAATTAGAAAAACAGTACCAAAATCCCAAAATGTTTCCAAAGTGTCAGAGGCTAGACAGAAGAAGAATGAAACTCCTACAGAGTTTCTGGAAAGACTAAAAGATTTTATAAGGAAGTACTCAGGACTGGATCCTGATGAAGAAACCACCCAAGTCCTTTTAAAACTTAATTATGTTGCCAACAGTTGACCAGTTATAAGCAGAAAGCTGCAAAAGATTGATGGGTGGTCTAAGAAGTCTATGAATGAGCTTCTGGAGGAAGCACAGAAGATGTACTTGTGGAAAAAGAAAAGATAGGCCAGAGTGGCAGAAGGGAAGTAAAGGAATGGATAATAGAAAGAAAAAACAGGAAAGTTGCTTTTAAGTTAGTTCGCACAGACATGTGAATTGCATGCATTAAAATTGTTGGGAGCAGGGAGACTGCCATTAACGTGGTCAGCTCAAATGTATAGAAAAATGAAAAGTAAGAAAGTGGGAGGTGGATGTTGCCAGATGGAAGACAGATGTTGTAATAGCTAGGACACAGAAGCAGCCACTGAAGGGGGTGTTGCAAGGGATGGTTGATACTTTTTTGAGGGGGAAAACAGGATGGCTGTATTTATACTTTAGTTAAACAAATCTGTGATAAATATATATGTAAACAAGTAAATAAAAAGCTCTATGACATCTAGTGGTGAGGCCATTTCAATGCTTTCAAATTGATTTTAAATTACCTCAAATGGGGGAAATTCCACAATATGAAACTAATGACATGTTTATAAAGAATTAGATACTGGGGCTGTCTTTTGCTTTATCTGTTCTTAGGAACAAAGGACGGCTGGCACAGACACCCCCACCTGACTTTGTGGTACATCATTTCCAACCAGGACAGTGGGTGTTAATCAAAACCTGGAAAGAGGAAAAACTCCAACCCAAGTGGGAAGGACTATTCCAAGTACTCTTAACCACTGAGACAGCAGTCCTCACAAAAGAGAAGGGGTGGACTCACCATACCAGAGTGAAAGCCAGCACTGAACCAGTTTGGACCATAGAACCCAGTGAGAATCCTCTGAAATTCAAAATTCCCCAGTGCTCTCAACGTGGTTGAAATAGGGGAATTTGTGCTCATTGGGGCATTGGTCATTGTATGGTTGGTGGTTCTGTTCTTCTTTTGCAAGGAAGACTGCATCCAGAATACTGAACAACTACCTGATGTGCTGGTTCTGTGATTGCAGGTGTTGGTGTAACTGTTGTTGTACCCATTGTTGTGATTGTGTTGTGATATATATAATTCAAGAAAACTTAACTCCCACACAACATAGGCTTTTTCATTCTTTCTGTGAAGAAATGATAACAAAAATTGAGATCCCAACCATAACTATGAATCTATTTATTGATTTGGCTGAAAGGCTAGCAGACTCCCTAAATGTCACTAATTGTTATGTGTGTGGTGACACTAATATGGGAGAACAATGGCCCTGGGAGACAAGAGAGATAGACCTCTCTGGTATAGCCAAGATGAACCTCACCTGGACATCACAAGATAGACCTTCTTGGTGGACTACCCAAACTTCTATAATAGGTGAAGTATGTTTTATAAGGGAAGCCTCTGCAGACTTCCACACACCAGTAGGACAGTTGGTTTATGAAAATGGAATACAGACAAATGGAACAGTACGAGGTAACCCTATTAGTAGTTGATGGAGTGGTGAAAATAGAACTGAGCCCTCCAACCCTTTTGAAAATATTACTCAATTGAAGGAACTATGGGATAGCCCAGGAAATGTTTCCCTAAGATGGAAAGCACCTGATGGGATGTATTGGATTTTTGGTAGATATGCTTATGCAATATTCCCCAAAGGATGGAATGGAGCCTGTGTCTTGGGTGCAATTAAACCTAGTTTTTTCCTTCTCCCAATACAAGGGGAAAAACTAGGAATCCCAATGTATGATGAGGTAGGTCATAGAGAAAAACAAAGTATATAAATATCAAGTCAAAAGAAATGGGGTGAAGAAGAATAGCCTCCAGAAAGAATTATACAAGTATATGGACCAGCCACCTAGGCAGAGGATGGAATGTATGGTTATTGAACCCCAATATATATACTTAATAGGATAATAAGATTGCAAGCTGTATTGGAGGTTATTACTAATCAGCTTTAGATATGCTTGCTAAGACTAGTACCCAACTATGTACAGCAGTATATCAGAATCACTTGGCTTTAGATTACTTGCTAGCTAAAGAAGGAGGTTTGTGTGGAAAATTTAATCTTACAAATTGCTGCCTCCAAATAGATGACCAAGGTAAAGTAATAGAGGAAATCACTGCTAAAATGAGGAAACTAGCTCATGTACCTATACAAAAATGGACAGGTATCTCAGACATCTCTTGGGTAGGTCAGATATTTGGGGGAAGGATGGAAGAAATGGGGCCTCATTTTGTTTATGGTAGTGGGTGGCTTCATACCAGTTCTAGTAAAAATTATTCAATATTCAATTGAATGTATGCAAGTGATTTTGGTACAGAAATACATGCAAAATGGAGAAAAATTGCTAATGATGAGAGTAAGAGGTAAACAAAAGAATGCTGAAGAAGAAGTAAGTTTGTTGCGATTGTCTGAATTGTAACAATTTCTAAAAGGATCAAAAGAGAAATGGTGGATTGTAAGAGGTAAAATATATATATTAGAAATTGCTTAATGACATTTAATCTTAATAATCTTAGCTAAAATTTAAGGAGTGATAAACTGGAGTAGCTATCAGTGAAGCTTACAAGTCTTGGGATCATGTGACTGCGGGACACAGCAGCCATCATAAATTCATACTAGTTGCAAAGTGCTCAGATGGTGATCACACATAACCACAGGGATACTGCGATGGATGCGATGAAGACCAGTTTTAAACCTACTTTTTCATTTCCATCTTAACTTTGGGTCTTTGGATGAGCAGTTGGAAATCAAGGAACCTGTAATGACTGTGCATTTGCAAATTATGCTGGATAGAGATCTGCTCCTACGCACAATAATGCCAAAATGATTATAGTAAAAGTGCATTGTGATGCCACAACAAAAGTTGCATCTTTCTGAATTTTCATTGTAACGTTGTGTGAAAGTACCTCTGAGGTAAAATGTTCAGCATATGTTGACACATTTCATTATGTGTGTGGCCCCCACCTAATCCCTCAGGGTGATGTTTGGGATGTGTCTAGAATAAGAAAAGCTCTCTCAGCAAAGGAAATCTTTTTCCAATAGAAGGTAAAGCAATATGAATTCATAGAGCAGGAGGTGGAGCAGAAGTTCCTCCAAAAGTTTTGTGGATTTGTTTCAAATCTGATGCTAAAAAGACGAATGTTTTGGAGCAGGACCACATGGGAAGAAGATAAGTACAAAGCTTTGCTATGGATGGGCAATCTGGACCGTTCAGTGGAACAGCTTACCTTCATAAGTTGTGGTTGCTCCAACACTGAAGGTTTTTAAGAGATTGGACAGCCATTTGTCTGAAAAGGCATAGGGTTTCCTGCCTGAGCAGGGGGTTGGACTAGATGACCTCCAAGATCCCTTCCAACTGTTATTCTCCTATTCTGATCGCAGCTCTTGAAAAGCCAGCTTTGCTCTGAGTAAAGAACCGCTAAATTTACAGGGTCGTTCTTGAAAAGTCGGAGAGCCGATGCAATACCGTAACTAAAATACGAATTATGCCTCTTTAAGAATTCATAGTGGACTAAGCAAATTGCTACTTTATTATTTTCACATTTCTTAATATTTAATCATTTGGTTTATTTACCTTTAGCAGTTTTTAAAATACTTTAAAAAATACTAAACACGCGCAAAGCAAAGAATGAAGTTATTTATTGCTAATCCTTTTGAGAGAAAGGAATATTATTGGAGCTGAGGTCTCGAAAAAGAAAAAAAAGTGGTTTTTCGGTTTCGTTTTTTTTTTCTCCCTTCCTCGCAAGTTCTCAGAAAATGATTCAACTCAGCTGTCGGAAACGAAACTCGCTCTCGAAGGGAGCGAGCGCGCTGCTTTTCGGGAAACGGAAAGCTCTCGGTATTGTCGATTACTTTCGTTTCCGGAGTAAGTTTCGATTTCTCTTCGCCAAGAAACTGAACGGAATGAAGTCAACGCTGTGCTGCGGATACCGCAGTCTTTGCCGGACCTGCGGTGAGAAAGCATTGTTTTCTCCGACGCTCCCAGCTCCGAGCTTGAAAGGTAAGAGCGCCCAGCATGGAAGGGATTTCAAACCGCAGGACCTTGTTGAGATCCTCCTCGTTCCGGGCGGAAACTACTTCGTTTCAGCGAATGGAATTAAATAGAACTGCCGGAGGACCCCTGATTATCTAAGTAATTTGTGGGCAAGGAAAGGAGAGTCCCGAAGTTGCGGGGTTTCCTCCACTGATGAGCGCGGAGATCCTTTGAGCATCCGGAACAAGACTGAAATCCCAACGACCACTTCGCAGATTGAAGAAAGGACGCCTGTGCAAGCCACGTGTCTTGTAAAACCACGGTTTGCTTAATAACCCAGAATACTTGATCTCATTGAACAAGCTAAGGTAGAACCGTGGATCAAAAGTCACAGGGACATAGCTTAGTTAAACGTGTGAACCTTCTTGTAAGCGTCCAAGAATTTCTGCTTGAGCTTGAAAGCAGCAAATGAACGTTTGGAGTGGAGGGAAGTTGGAGCAAATAAAATTAATTTAGCGGGAAGGCAGGGATTCAAGCCCTTTGAAATAAGTTATATAATCTCATATAAATTGCATGTCTGAGGTTGCTTGTCCGCCATTAAATGATATTTAATTGAATGTAAGAAGGGGAGGCTGTCAGTAGGACCAATGGTTTTGGAGGTGCCTTTCAGCATTTTTAAAGACAGTCTTTAGGGGCTTCTTGAGAACTTGTGTTGCTCGCTTGTAGCTGCTTATTTCAACAAAGATGTTTTTACTGAAGAGAGTTTTTAAAGCTATCCAGACAGCAGGTTAGCACCAGACCTTTTATTTTTTTGTAGTTTGAGGCAATGGAAAATTTATGCCACAATTATTGACAGGTGTTTTTTTAATGCTTTGATTATGCATTTACTCTGCTAGCATACTTTCTAAATTATCATTACCTGGTGATAAAAGCGGTTAAAACTGGACATCAAAACCACAGAATCCTAAGGATCAGGCGAGAATGTCACTGTTGTTATTGACAAACATGGCAACATCTTTATGAGCTAACAATGTTTTTATTCCAGAACATATTTTGCTGCAAGGACACTATGAAGTCTGCCATCCAGACATCCAACAAAACTAAGAATTATCCACGTAAAAGGATGAAAAAGGTATGCTATGCCATATCTCCAGATTATGTTTTACATTGTCAATTAGGCATGAAAACTGGCTGAGTGATTTTGGGGCAGTCTTTCTCACTCAGCCCAACCCACTTCACCTGATGACAGTTGTCATGGGGAAAATGAGAGCATTACAGTGAGGGAAAAAATTATTTGACCCTCTGCTGATTTTTGTACGTTTGCCCACTGACAAAGAAATGATCAGTCTATAATTTTAATGGTAGGTTTGTTTTAACAGTGAGAGACAGAATAACAACAAAAAAATCCAGAAAAACGCATTTCAAAAAAGTTATAAACTGATTTGTATTTTAATGAGTGAAATAAGTATTTGACCCCTTTGCAAAACGTGACTCAGTACTTGGTGGCAAAACCCCTGTTGGCAATCACAGAGGTCAGACGTTTCTTGTAGTTGACCACCAGGTTTGCACACATCTCAGGAGGGATTTTGTCCCACTCTTCTTTGCAGATCCTCTCCAAGTCATTAAGGTTTCAAGGCTGAGGTTTGGCAGCTCGAACCTTCAGCTCCCTCCACAGGTTTTCTATGGGGTTAAAGTCTGGAGAATGGCTAGGCCACTCCAGGACCTTAATGTGCTTAATGCGCTTCTTTTTGAGCCACTCCTTTGTTGCCTTGGCCATGTGTTTTGGGTCATTGCCATCCACAACCTATTTTCAATGCCCTGGCTGAGGGAAGGAGGTTCTCACCCAAGATTTGATGGTACAAGGCCCCGTCCATCGTCCCTTTGATGTGGTGAAGTTGCCCTGTCCCCCTAGCAGAAAAACACCCCCAAAGCATAATGTTTCCACCTCCATGTTTGACGGTGGGGATGGGGTTCTTGGGGTCATAGGCAGCATTCCTCCTCCAAACACAGCAAGTTGAGTTGATGCCAAAGAGCTCGATTTTGGTCTCATCTGACCACAACACTTTCACCCAGTTCTCCTCTGAATCATTCAGATGTTCATTGGCAAACGTCAGACAGCCTGTACATAGACTTTCTTGAGCAGGGGGACCTTGCAGGTGCTGCAGGATTTCAGTCCTTCACTGCGTAGTGTGTTACCAATTGTTTTCTTGACTATGGTTCCAGCTGCCTTGAGATCATTGAAAAGATCCTCCCAGGTTGTTCTGGGCTGATTCCTCACCATTTTCATGATCGTTGAAACTCCATGAGGTGAGATCTTGCATGGAGCCCCAGATCGAGGGAGATTGACAGTTATTTTCTGTTTCTTCCATTTGCGAACAACTGTTGTCACTTATCACCAAGCTGCTTGGCAATAGTCTTGTAGCCCATTCCAGCCTTTTGTAGGTCTACAATTTTGTCCCTGATAGCCTTGGACAGGTCTTTGGTTTTGGCCATGGTGGAGAGTTTGGAATCTGAATGATTGATTGATTGATTGATTGCTTCTGTAGCGCCACCCCCATAGGGACTGCTTAAGTCCGGGCCTTCCCGACCTCCCCTCCAAGTGGCCACCAGCCCAAGGAGGTCTCCTACATTGGTACTCTGCCTAACAGGGCACGTAACATGGTGGTACTCAGTCACGATCGGCAGCCACTCACATGGGGCAGTGATGGTCGCTCTCGACGGTGATTCACGTGGGATGATAGTGGTTGATCTCAGGCAGTAAGAACTTACAGGGAAGATGGTAGTCAATCTCTAATGACAACTTGCCCAGAATGATGTTAATCAGCCTCTGGTGATGGCAACTTGCCTAGAACATGGCAGTCAGTCTCTGGTGATGGCAACTTGCCTAGAACATGACAGTCAGTCTCTGGTGACAGCAACTTGCCTAAAACAATGGTAGCCAGTCTGTGGTGACAACAACTTGCCCAGGACGATGTTAATCCATCTTTGATGACAACAACTTCCTAGAACAATGGCAATCAAACTTTGGCGCTGGCAGAGGCCTCCCTTGTCCGCCCTCCTCGCCCCTCTCTGACCTCACACTCCATGTAATTCCTTTTTATCTCCCGCAGCTGATCCTATAAAGAAAAAAACCTTTACTTCCCACTAAAAGACATATGTCAAACTCTTTCCTAACTCTCCCTCTGCCTAACTTACTCCAATGAGGGAAAGGAATTAAAATTCCCCAAACTACCTTCTTTCCCTCTCTTTGTCTGGCCTGCCCACAATGAAAGAGAAAGAAACAATAACACTTCACCTCCCCCCCCCCCGCCGCCTGCTTCAAGCAAAGAGCTCCAACCAGCCACTCTCACCCTCTCTCTCTCTCTCTCTCTCTGCCTGGCCTGCTTCAAGCAAACAGCTCCAGCAACTACTCTCACTCTCTCTATCCCTCCCCCTTTCGTCCAGTTTGCCTGTAATGAAGCAAAAAAAGCAAACGTGAAAACCCCAGCTTCTTACTCTCTCTTCGATCAGCTGGCTCAGAACGGCAAGCTCCACCAAGCCTTCTCTCTTTCTCCCCAAGCCTTCTCTCTTCCTCCCTTCTATTTGCTTCCTTCTCTTTTTTCTTCCCTCCTCTGAACCACACCCCGCCGCCAGATCCATGGCAGCTGCCAGAGCTCCTCATCTTCTTGCCTAATCGGCAGGGCACCTGCAAAGCCTCTCAGCTGGCCCCATTCTCACCCCAACTCTGCTACACTTCTGTGGATCGGTGTCTTTTATACAGGTAATAAGCTGAGATTAGGAGTTCTCCCTTTAAGAGAGTGCTCCTAATATCCACTCGTTACCTGTATAAAAGACACCTGAGAGCCAGAAATCTTGCTGATTGATACGGGATCAAATACTTATTTTACTCATTAAAATGCAAATCAATTTATAACTTCTTTGAAATGCATTTTTCTGATTTTTTTTGTTCTTAATTCTGTCTTTCACTGTTAAAATGAACCTACCATTAAAATTATAGACTGATAGTTTCTTTGTCAGTGGGCAAACGTACAAAATCAACAGGGGATCAAATACTTTTTTTTCCCTCACTGTAGGTCTACATGCTACTTTAATATATATGTATTTACCTATGTATAAAATCGTATTTTGGATAATACCCCTAAAACACTAAAAACAGCAAAGCTATACAAGTAGCCAATGTTTAGCAACCACAATTGGGGCTGAAAACTTGGCACTAAGTGGAAAATCACATGACCATGATAGACCTATTTCCCCTTGGGTGATTAAGTGAAGGACTGTGGTTGCTAAGAGAAAAATCACATGATCATGACATGCTTTTATTTATACCTTCTCTATTAACTCTGCTTGTCATAAGCCAGTGATGGCAATCACATCACCATGGGATGCTGCAACGATGGTAAATGCAAAGATCGGCCCGAAAATTGTGTTCTTTTTTCCACTGCCGTAACTTTGAAGAGTTGTTGCCCAAGGCAGTCAGAATGCGAGGACTGTCTGTACCTATGTTCTTTTTTCATGGGAAGTACAATTCCAGCTCATTTGGGATGAGATTTCCAAATTAAGGAAGAGTTAATTCCAAGATCAGTAGAGGAGGCAACTTGGTATTTTGTTTTGTTTCCTTAGAACGCAGAAAATCATTTGTGCAGCCACTATGAAGAGAAGGTCCGTCCCTGTATTGACCTCATTGATTCACTGAGGGCCCTTGGAGTGGAAAAGGACTTGGCGTTGCCAGCAATTGCTGTGATTGGAGATCAGAGCTCTGGAAAAAGTTCAGTTCTAGAGGCCTTGTCTGGAGTTGCCCTTCCTAGAGGCAGTGGTGAGAATTTTCCCAAAGCTTTTCTTCTTTGAATATCAAACAGATTTCCCCAACCGGTACAATTCAGATATGTCGGCCTACAAGTCTTATTGCTGTACCAGGGGGAATGGGGTTTATATTTCATCTTGAGAACCACCTGTCATAGATAGGTTTTCAATTGGGATGAAGCTTTTGAGAGATGCTCAGTTAGCTTTCTGAATTTCAGGAGCCTAGAACAAATGTGAACTTCCATATTTTTTCTAATCAAAACATGTAAATCAGGCCATTCTCTACTTATTTTCCTTCTTATATTCAGATTGGCTTCAACTGAATCCAATCAGTATATGCTAATTTTCCAAACTGGATGGCTTCTGTGTGTATAAAAACAACAATCCTGTAATCATATCCAAAGACAGTTACTACCTAGCACATAATTGAGTGGCATTCAGAATAGATTTAAATTTAAAAAATTAAAGTAGGCTTAAAATTTTAAAACTTTGCAAAAAAATTTTTTTAAACTATGCAAAAAAACAAACAAACCAGAAACCAAGAAATAGACAGTATGGTATTTACTTCTTATTTTTCTTTCTGCTTCTCTTCTTGATTATGTTGTTAAATATCTAATAAAATAGATATCTATAAAATTAAGAAAAATGTTTTAACATTGCAGGGATTGTTACCAGATGCCCCTTGGAGCTCAAGATGAAAAAAAATAATAATATAAAGGAATGGAAGGGGAAAATGGTGTATCTGGAAACAGAGGTGGAACTGAAAGATCCATCAGAGGTGGAAGTTGCAGTTAGGAGAGGTAACATTCAGTGACAATAATAAGGGGTTTTGTTTTTCTTAAAATGATCAGTATAGGCAGAATTCTAGCTCACAATATTTCTGTAATTGTAGCGAAGGATAGAAGTAAAATGAAGGTCTACACTAGTAGTTTCGCTTCAAAACATGTATTTGATATTTGATTTTTTATTCCCTTGATTTTTAATCTAAATATTCAGTCATGTTTGCTGCTGTTAGACATTTCAAATTGTATTCCTATTGTAGGAAACAAGCCTGTTTAAAAATATATGCTTGTCTGTTTTCTTCAGAGGTCTTTTAAAACAAATGGTTTGATAAAACTGCTCTGCATAAGGAGTTTCCTATAACCGAGTCTGCTGTTTTTGTTTTACCTCACACAATATAGCTCAGAATGCAATAGCTGGCGAAGGACTGAGTATTAGTAACAAATTAATTACCCTGGAAATTAGTTCTCCAGATGTTCCAGATCTCACCTTAATTGATCTTCCAGGAATTACAAGAGTGGCAGTGGGTAATCAACCACAAGACATTGGCCATCAGGTAAAACAAAAAAGATTTTGTAGAGTGATAGGTATCTGATTGTCAACTGAATAATTGTCAACTGTTTACTGCTCCTTTTTGCTAGGAAAGATCTTTACACATTTCAGGAGGGAGATGTGCAGTTGGTCCTCCATTAATGACTGCCTCATTTAGTGACCATTTGAAGTTACAATGGTGTAAAACATAGCTTTGCTACAGATACATTTATTGCAGCATCCTGCGTGATCACCATTTGTGTGCTTTGCAACTGGCTTATGACAAGTAGAGTTAATAGAGATGCAGAAGTAAAATAATTGTGTTCATGAGATGTTTCATTTGGTGACTGTGGCACTTCACTTAATGACCAGGTCAGGATTAAGGTTTTAAGGTGATTGTAATCACATGGGTTTCTGCTTAGTGATGGTGGCACTTAATGACCGAGTTGCCTGTCCCAATTGTGGTCGCTAAGCAAGGACTACTATATCTATAGAATGTATCTTTCCTTTAGTTGATCTTTATTCAATAAATGGATTCCAGAAATTCTGTGGAGTTCATGCTGTCTATTTAATGCATCTTGGAATGCCAGTGGAACTGAATAATATCTCCAACCTAGTAATCATGATATCCAGATGTATGGAGCCCTACAGTATCCCTCTGCTTAGGCTTCCTGCTCTTGATATATAAGGCTCTGGGCAGAGGATACTCGATATCTGGATAAAATGGACAGGCACATTGTTGCTCCTTCATAGATTTTGAATGCTGCACATAGAAGCAGCATCTGTGAAACAATTTGGGGGTGAGGTAGGGGTTAAAGTAAGTTGCAGACTATGTACTATAGATTACAGTACTGAAATTTTATGTATAGTTATGGTAGCCTTGATAGAATAAATTATTTGTTCTTTCCAGCTTCTTTGAAAATAATTTTATCCTCTACCCATGCCTGACATAAAATACAATTTAATTACAGATCATGAAATTAATTCAAAGTTATATTACCAAACAAGAAACCATAAATTTGGTTGTGGTTCCAAGTAATGTTGATATTGCTACTACAGAGGCATTGAAAATGGCTCAAACAGTAGATCCCGAAGGAGAGAGAACGCTTGGTAAGTTAATGAGATCGTTAAAAGATTTTTTTCTGCTCACAGAATAGGATACTATTGTAAATGATTTTTTATTAAAAATGTAAAGCTTTTTTTTTAAAAAAAAAAAGTTGTCGGAAGCTTGATTTTATTAAATTTCTGGTTATTAATGCAGTTATATATTTCAAATATTCTCACATAGATTATTCTGAAGTTGCATTCATTTGTTTAGTGAATGTTTGAAGTTCATTTTTTATTTATCTGTTTAAAACATTTATATAGCTGCCTCCTTATAACCAGTTCTGGGTGCCTCCCAATTAAAGATTAAAACAGCACAAAAGCATATTAAAATTATAAAAACTAAACACATTAAAAACAAAAAAAAACTGGCGCTCAGTCATATATATCTCTGATATGCAGTCACCTCCTCTTATCCCAGCACTGCCATGAAAAAGGTACACTTCCAAGCTCCCACAAGATGGCAATATTTATGGGAAGTGATTAGGAGCATCCCTATCCTATTTGAACTGGTAGAACAGGTAGATATCATTAGGGAAAGGTGGCCTTGCAGATAACCTGGCCCTGTGCAATATAGGGTGCTAAAGGTAATGACCAACATCTTGAATTTCATCTGGAAAGAAAATAGAGGTCAGTGCAGCCAACAGAACAAAGATGTTATATGAGCAAACCTGCCTCCCCCTTACTTTGTGCTGCTACATGGGTAGCTATTTTCTGACAGCATTGAAAAAGGATGGCTTATGACCAGTTCTCACATTTATGACTATTTCAGTGTCCATGCAATCATGTGATCAAAATTCAGACACTTGTCAACTGGCATCTATTTACAACAGTTGTCTTGGGATCATATGATTGGTATTTGCAACCATCCCAGCCAGCTTCCAACATGCAAAGTCAATGGGGAAAACCACATTCACTTAACAACCATTTACTTTTGAGTTGTGAAAGGACAGCAGGTATTTCCAGAGGGCAAAACTACTGTGGTGCTTAAAAGTTTGTGAATCCCTTGTTAATTTTCAACATCTCTGCATACAGGAAGTCCTTGACTTACAGCTGGTCATTTAATGATCGTTCAAAGTCATAATGGCCTCAGAAATGGTGCTTTACAGCCCGTAAAGCTTAAAGCTACTTGAAAGCCCATTTCTCCAACCCAGCATTGAGGAGAGATAAATAGCTACTTGGTGGTGCGCATGTTTAGGGAGACTCATTTTTCCAGACTGAATGTGATTCAGGAATGAAGTGGCCTTCATTGGATTAAGTTCCAGCCTTTCTCAAGTAAATGAGCATGTCTTTCTTTTCTGTCAATTATTTCATAGGTATTCTAACCAAGCCTGATTTGATTGACGAAGGAACTGAGGATGAGACCATTGATATTGTCCGGAATCAAAGAGTGCCTCTGAAAAAAGGATACATGATTGTTAAATGTCGTGGGCAAAGTGACCTCATTAATAAACTGAGCTTGGAGGATGCAATCAAGAAAGAGAGAGAATTTTTTGAAGAGCACAAGTTTTTCAGGTAGTATGTAGAAATAATTCCTGAACATTGTTTTGCAAAATGTGTTCCTTTATACATCATAGTTTGTGAGTGTCTCTATGAATATGCCTGCATATAAACTAAATACCGATGAAGTTTCATCTGTGAACTGGGCAAAGATATTTTTCTCTCATGCGCTTAGCACTTCTAGTTAGTGATGATGCTCATTCCCCACTTCGTTTCAAATTACCACCAAATTGTTTGAGCTCATGGCTTAACCTATAGAGCATATAATCCCAGTCCATCTGAAAGATATTGAGGAATGCTGAGATGATACAAATGATAACTTCAATATTATTGAGTAACTCTTGAATTTTACTCACTCTGATCTCCCCCAGTGTTCTTTTGGAAGAAGGCAGAGCTACCATCCCACTTCTGGCAGAAAATCTTACACAAGAGCTCACTGAACACATTCAGGTAAGGAACTCTCAATTCATTCAAGGTTGAAGAGGAAAGATATTGTGTTACATGTGCAATTTCACACCATGATTCTGATTGTGCTGCACTGAGATGCATGTATCAGAATCCCAATTAGCTCTCTGTAGAAAGGATGAAGCATTTGGTGGGCAAATTTGCATCCTACTCAAGCTGCACTCCTAGGATAATACATTATGGCTATATACGCATGCATATTTCTATCCTTAGGCATCTAATTCATACTGTAAGAAAGATTCCTGGGACCAGGCTTTGTGTCTGTATGTGTGTGTGAATATTGTTATATCGCTTGGCAGCTGCTAAAATTGGTAGCTTTCTACTTCAAAATGTCAGATAAATGTTTCTGTCAATCTACAATATTTAAAATTTTTGAACTTGCATAGGATTACAGTTTTACACCTTTCCTTTAGTTAATTTTGTTTTTGTTGCAGAAATCACTGCCAGCTTTAGAAAAGCAAATAGAAATCAGCCTTGAGGTAATTCGTCAAAAACTTCAGAAGTATGGTGAAGGTGTTCCTGAATCCTTAGAGGACAAGAAATATTTTTTTGTGCAAGTAAGATTAATTATATATTAAAAAATAAAGGCAGATGTGAGTTTGTACCTAACCCAGTCATGAAACAAATTGTACCCTTGTTAATCAGTATTGTTGCTAGGTGCTTACTGTTGTATTATGTGTATAAAATGGCCAAAATACACAACTATATCATCAGGAGCTTGTCGCTATATTGGGCAGACTGAAATACTTGCTGTTCTCTCCTAGCCTACGTGAGTACTGCTCAACTGCTTACTTGTGAGGAAAACCCCAAGGTAGGACTTTGTAAGAAAATAACCCCCTTTTATTTTGACACAGCTTTTATGGAACAAACTTCAACCAGTCCTTTAGCTGTAGAAATAAACAAGATCAGTCTCTCAGTTCTCAGCAGGGAAGTTCAAGGTTCAAGTCACTCAAACATACAGAAATCTGATAAATCTGATTAAATATCCAAGAGTCCTGAGGCAAGAAATCCAACAATAGAAGCATGAAGCTGTAGCATGAATGGTTGCCTTCAACAACAAGACCCTCCCACACCTCTCCTCTTTATTGTTCTGCCAGGGCATGGCTTCATAGAGTCTTTTACTTTTCCTGGAGAGCCGTCTCGTGGCCCTCCGTTTTCCTGCATGCCTTTCCTTTCTGCGCATCCGCACATCTGGAACAGGCCCCAACTGTTCCTCCTCTTCACTCCGTTCAGTCCCCAAACCCAGCTGTCTCTCTGCCTGAGCGTGAGTAGATGAGCCCAGGGTCACATCTACTGTAGCTCTGTGTCTTCTTGCTCCTCAGAGCCTTCCACAGACTCCCACATGAACCCAGCAGATTCATCTGACTCTGCTGCTGGATTGGCTGGCAGGTGAGGACTCACAACACTTGCATATTTATTTTCTGTCATTGGTTTGCCCTTGGCTTTGAAGGGTGATAGGATTTTGGGGGGGGGGGTCAATTGGATAATGGAACCTAGGAGTTAGTAACAGCTGAGTACAGGGAAACAAGACCAAACCACAATTAAAAAACTGCAAAGTGGCTGCTTATTCTTGTCCATCTGCATTTACTCTTTATTCTGCACTTTACTCTTTTCTGAAAGATTTCATAAACTTTGACAATAATTGTCCATAAAAAAGATATATATATATATATATATATATATGATTAAGAAAATTAAAAACATGAACCCTGGGAATATTCATGGCAAAGAATAAAATGACCACCAGGGTAAAGGTAAAACTATAAAAGTTTATTTAAAAAGCGCCAAGCTTTCGCCGTCACCTGCCGGCATCCTCAGGGCTAATGTGTCAGGAAGTGTGAGAGTCTTTTATAGGTGTATCAAAGCCTGCGCACGGCTCTTCGACCTCGTTACCGGGCCGGCTTGATTCAATTGCATAGGATTGGTTGGTTCTTTCCTGTTCCTTTCAGTTACGTGTCTCTCTTCATCCGTCCTACCTTCCTTTGGGGTGGATGGATAAAGGTCTCTATTGTTTCGGTAGTCTCTATGCTTCAATTCCTTCCCCCCGGGTTCGGGTAGAAGTATGCATTTCATATTCCTTTCACAATCATCGTTTACTTGATTGCTCCTTTTACGATGGCTTTCTCTGCTTTCACTTTCTACACAACTCTCATCCGGATAATCTTGTAAGTTGTTGCGAATTGGTTGTAATCTAATGCTGGTCTGGGGTTGGGAAGTAAGTTGTTTAGTTACGGGGGGGGGTTGTCTAGCTGTCGTTGTGCTTAATTGTTTTGCGTAAGTCATACTGCGGGTAATTGATCTGGAGGGGGGGTGGTGGCAAGATCACATTCCCCTTGATTGCTCCAGTGTTTTTCTCCTGTTTTCTTTCTCTCTCCTACGTTGCTGGTGTCTATGCATGTCTCACAGGGATCCTCAGGATTTACATCGTGAACCTCCCCCCTCCGTCTTCCCCTTCATTCCAGTCTATTCTTTTCTTTCTCCCCAAAGACATTCACGGGTCCATCGTTGGTTGCACTTTGTAGTTCACACTGTTTTATGCACGTCATGCTACGGGTAACTAGTCCGGTGGGGGGCAGCAATAGTGAGACTACATTCCCCTTGGTTATTATAGCACTTTTCTCCCATTTTCATTTTCTTTCTTGCGTTGCTGGTGTCTGCGCGAGTCTCACGGAGGTCTTCGGAGTTCGTAGGTGGGGGGGTGTGATGGTCCGGTCTTTTGAGCTCCGTAGTCTCCTTATTCACTTCCATCCCGCAAGAACTTGCGGTTACGATCTTAAGAGACCGGTTAAATCAGGGAGACCAGAGACAACAGCAAGACTCCCTCCGGACGGAAGATCTCATAAAATTGATGGGAGTCTGTCTCAATACCTATTTCACCTTTCAGGGTACCATATATGAACAGATTAAGGGAACACCGATGGGGTCGCCGATCTCCAGTGTGATTGCAGAAGTGGTGCTCCAACAACTGGAACACATAGCGATGGCCCAATACCAGCCAAAGTTTTGGGCCCGCTATGTGGACGACACGTTTGTTGTCATCAAGAGGCGACACAAGTCTGACTTTATGGGCATCTTGAATTCGGTATACCCAGACATCCAGTTCACTATGGAAGAGGAAAATCAGGGCAGTCTAGCGTTTCTGGATGTATTGGTAAAGCGCCAATTGGACGGATGTCTGACCACTAAGGTATACCGGAAACCAACATACACGGATAGGATCCTGCATTTCGAGAGTAACCATCCGATGGCCCATAAAGTCAGCTGTGTCAGGACCCTGTTTAAACATGTGGAGTCACACTGCAGCACCGCCAAAGCTAAGAGGAAAGAGAGAAATCATCTCTTCCAGGTGTGTAAACGTAATGGGTACCCGGCCAAGTTTGTTAATCGAGTTGGCAAGCCATTTGGAACCCGGAGTAACCCCACACCCCAGGAATCTACACCTCAGACAACCACACGGATTACCCTCCCCTATATCCATAATGTCTCAGAAGCCACAGCAAGGATCTTGGCACCATATCAAATCCAAGTGGCCCATAGACCAAATCAAACACTGCGGGCAGCTATAATGCGCCCTAAGGACCCGCTCCCCAACATTGAAAGATCGGCAGCTGTCTATAAGATCGACTGTATGGACTGCCAGTGCAATTATGTTGGGGAGACAGCTAAACGAATTAAGACCAGGGTCCATGAACATAAGCTAGCAGTGAGAAGGGGAGATCAGTACTCCCAGATATGGGCACACATGGCTGAATGGGACCATAGATTCAACTTTAATGAGATTAGCGTATTAGCGAGTGACAATACCAAGGGAGGCCGCCTACTTAAGGAGGCATGGCTTTCAGATAGTAATTCCATCAACCGACATGTTGACCTGTGCCCAGCATATGTAGCCTTAAGATCATGGAGTGCAAGCAACCAACGGCAATACCCCCGACGACCCAGTAACAACCTTAACAACATCCAAGAGAAAGAGCAGATCCCCCAATTGATCCAGATCAATCCAAAGGAGGAAAGCCAATCGTGGAATATCCCAGTGACACCAGCAAGGTTACCGCAGCCCCAAAGAACCAAAGAAATGGTGAAAATTAAGATCCGGAACCCCGATACTACGAACAGCCGAGGCACTGTGACTAATGTAAAGGAAGATACAGCTAGTGAAAGGGGAGAGGAATTCCTGAATACGATGATCTATCCGCATACAGAAAGGAACGCACTAGCCGATTCGGAAAGAGAGGAAAGATCCCCTCGCCCGGCCGAGATGACCATACTGGGGGGGGGAGTGGGAGCTGCAAGGCGTAACTAACGATAGACCCAGGAATGCCACTAGGGAGAAAGAAAAGAATAGATTGGAATGGAGGGGAAGACGGAGGGGGGAGACTTGCGAGGACGACGGAGCGCAAAAGACCGGACCATCACACCCCCCCACCTACGAACTCCGAAGACCTCCGTGAGACTCGCGCAGACACCAGCAACGCAAGAAAGAAAATGAAAATGGGAGAAAAGTGCTATAATAACCAAGGGGAATGTAGTCTCACTATTGCTGCCCCCCCCGGACTAGTTACCCATAGCATGACGTGCATAAAACAGTGTGAACTACAAAGTGCAACTAACGATGGACCCGTGAATGTCTTTGGGGAGAAAGAAAAGAATAGACTGGAACGAAGGGGAAGACGGAGGGGGGAGGTTCACGATGTAAATCCTGAGGATCCCTGTGAGACATGCATAGACACCAGCAACGTAGGAGAGAGAAAGAAAACAGGAGAAAAACACTGGAGCAATCAAGGGGAATGTGATCTTGCCACCACCCCCCCCCCTCCAGATCAATTACCCGCAGTATGACTTACGCAAAACAATTAAGCACAACGACAGCTAGACAACCCCCCCCATAACTAAACAACTTACTTCCCAACCCCAGACCAGCATTAGATTACAACCAATTCGCAACAACTTACAAGATTATCCGGATGAGAGTTGTGTAGAAAGTGAAAGCAGAGAAAGCCATCGTAAAAGGAGCAATCAAGTAAACGATGATTGTGAAAGGAATATGAAATGCATACTGCTACCCGAACCCGGGGGGGAAGGAATTGAAGCATAGAGACTACCGAAACAATAGAGACCTTTATCCATCCACCCCAAAGGAAGGTAGGACGGATGAAGAGAGACACGTAACTGAAAGGAACAGGAAAGAACCAACCAATCCTATGCAATTGAATCAAGCCGGCCCGGTAACGAGGTCGAAGAGCCGTGCGCAGGCTTTGATACACCTATAAAAGACTCTCACACTTCCTGACACATTAGCCCTGAGGATGCCGGCAGGTGACGGCGAAAGCTTGGCGCTTTTTAAATAAACTTTTATAGTTTTACCTTTACCCTGGTGGTCATTTTATTCTTTGCCATATATATAATATATATATATATATATATATATATATATATTATATATATATATAATACACACACACATTACATATATATATAATATATATATATATATATATATATATATACACATATACACATACATACACACACACACACACATACATACATATACATATATACATATACATATATGCTAATTTTTTGGATTCTAACAAAGAATTAAAGGGAGACTGGTATGGCTATTTCGAGCTAATTAGCTCTCATCGGCCAGCCATACCCTTCTGAGATTCAAACCTGGGCTGCTTGCATGTTAGGCAGCTGTGTTGATCCCTAGGCCACAGGCTCTTTCTCACTTTGTCAGCTGTATCAGGAAGGGAGGGAAGAGACAGGGGAGGAGATACGTCTTGAGTGGGTTTTTTTGTTTTGTTTTTTATGCACCTGTCTGCCCAAATATGGGGAAAAGATTTTAAAAACTAATACTAATATAGAGGAAGGAAGGGGAAAAAAGAGATTAAAGCAGCGGTTCTTAACCTTTGTGTGACGGCGACCCCGTCACACAAAGGTTATGCTCATGCGCGGCGGCGACCCATAGGTTGAGAACCGCTGGATTAAAGGATAAGCTAAAAATGTTGGATACTGCTTTTCTTTGGTGATGGCTAAATCACAATTTTTCTCGCCAGAAGCAATAAACTGGCGGGGTCGGGTGGCTTTTTCTTCTTCCAGATTTAAGGAGGAAACATGGAATCAATCCTGCCCTCCGGACTGTCATTCATGAACATATTATGGAAATGGAGGTTTCCCCAATCAGCTGATGAGTTGAATGACAGGGAGGTGACTTCTTATTCCTCTTTGATGATTAATAAAGAGAGCTGGGGATTTAGAGATGATAGAAAATGTGGTATAAAGTGAAATGAAGACATATCTGGTTGTGCTGTAAGAGACAGTGATGAATTGTTAATGAAGCCACTTTGACTTTTTTGCAAGAAAATCAAATGCAATTTTGTTTTTGGGATTTGATAATTAGAATTATATGGAATTATAAAAGTAAGGTAGACATTCTTAGTTTTAGGGATATAAGTTGGGCCTGTTTTTTATCTACTGTATATTTGGACGAAAAAAGATTCAAAGCCATTTTTTCTTTTTTTTTTTTCAGTTTTATTTTGCTTGCTCCCTGATTCTTTTTTCTACTTTCTTTTTTCTTGCTTGTTTCCTTTTATTGATGTTTTTGAAACATAATAAAATCATAAATACAAAAGTTAGTGCTAAAAATGCAAAAAAAACCCCACAATCCTCTACCCTCAGCAGTGCTCACAAACCCCCAACTTACCTCCAATCACCACTTATCTGCTTGCCAGCCTTAAAACAAAACATCTGGGACTTCTCCAGCTATTCTAATTCCTTCAGGACTGATCTTTCAGAATGTTATACCCATGTTTTTATATTTAGAGGTTCCTGGAAATTACATGGAGAGTAACTATCCTTCTGGAACATGTAGTTTGTATTATCATTTTAACTGATAATCTTATTTTAAAAATTATATTATTTTGCATTTTTTTCCCCAGAAAATCAATGCTTTTAATAAGGACCTCTTAAACATTGTAAATGGAGAAGAGGATATAAAATACTCAAAGAGCAAAAGAACAATTACAGATATTCGACAGGCATTTAATCAATGGCAAGATACAATTAATGATAACATTATAGGTAAACTCAATTCAATTATGTGTTTTTCTGTTAGTGGATGCTTAGTTTCAGCACAAGAAGCTTCAGTTCTGGATATGCTTTATTGTTACATATTCAGGTAGGTTTGTTAATATGAGAGATTCTCTATATAACTTTGTATAGGTGTTACTGAAAATCTGTAAGAAGGAAGATTAAAAACCCAGTCCTCTTTACTTTGCAGCTTTTAACACCTTATATTTTATGTGTTTTTCCCGCCACACAAATTTAGACATGTCCTTCTGCTATTTCTTAAACCCATGGTGGCGAACCTATGGCACGGGTGCCACAGGTGGTATGCAGAGCCCTCTATGTGGGCACACGCATCATCACCCCAGTCCTAGGCCTTTAGCTGGGTTTTATAAAACCTTTTCGATTTAGTCCGCTGCTGTGTGGAAAAAAAAGGTTCAATCAGTCAATCAATTTTAGCTTCTCGTGGAAAAAAAAGATCTTGCAAAGTTGGAATTGATTGATTAAACTTTTTAGTGCCGCCCAGTCTGCCATTACCACCACAGCCACACCCACCTAATGGGCCACGCCCACCTGGCACCCGATGATACATAAGTGGATTTTGGGTTTCAGTTTGGGCACTTGGTTTGTAAAAGGTTCGCCATCACTGGCTTAAACTGTCCCTCAGTAATCAAAACAGATATTGTCAGAAACAACAAAACCATTTTAGGCAAGCCATTGATTTTTATTATAGGTTTGTCCCCCCTTAACCATGTCTTTCTTAACTTCATTCCATGTTTTAATTATTTTGAAATAACAAAGAGTTCTTATTATCCATAATGATACCCATATGTTTATCTACTACTCAAGCTTAAAACCCTTTTTATTCTGTTTGATCTTCTCTATTTCTATTTTTATTAAGATCTATTTATTAATCTTGAACCCTGCTAAAACACCAAATTTTTTTAATTTGCCCATTCCTATTTCAATACCCTCTAAAGGATCTTCCAAAACCAGCACAAGTCATTTGCAAAAGCCCTTAACTTATAAGTTTCTAATTCTTACTCCCACAATGAGTATGAGAGGTTCTGAATAGAGGATCTGCAGCCTATAGCCATTTTCCATGGAACATAAATCCCTTTCACTTAGAGCAATCTTGGATCATAGACCTTTTGCCTGGACCCAGTTCTTGATAGATATGAACTGGAAAGATTACAAAGTTATTCTTTATTTTACAGACTTTCTAAAGCAGTGATTCCCAAATATTTTTCTTATAAGTGCCACTATAGTGTCACTCAAAACATAATTAAGGGCTTCATGGCACATATAATTGTATAGGTGGCATCAAGAGATCCCGAGTTAAATATTTTTAAAAAATATTTAAAATTTAAATTTTCAAATTTTTCAGACTACCAATCTCACATGATTTTGTAAAGTTCTTGAGATTTTGAAAAAGAATGCTGTATCCCAAAATCTAACAAGATTTCAAGTAAGAAAATTGGAATTGTGGCTGCTTAAAAAATGCTGGGTGGTAGATTTGGTGCATCATTTCTTGAAGATCAGGATACACAGACAAGAAGTTTGAATCCATTGTGTTTGTTTTTCACAAGTGGTCATAATTAATATAAATCCAATAGCTACTGAAAATAGAACACAGCTTTGGATAATATATTTTTTTTCACAAAATCCACTCTGATGTTTTTGTCTATAGAGATAAAAACATAAAGAAATTACATCTGTGTTGATCCATGGGAAAAAAATCACACCTCAAACCTTTACTGGGAGCAACCAAAATTACATAAAAGAATACACAGTTTTGAGTGTAAAGAACTGTTAAACGCATAAGTGGGAAAGGCACGAAAAAGAGACTCATTTTATAGCTACTGTATATCTCAAAAAAATAATGGTATCTAGCCAATTTTAACTCAGCTTTGGAGCTAACAGATTAGTTTGTTTTTGAATGGGAGACTCCAGGATACATACTAGAAAAGGAAATCAGAAACATTTCCATGCAGTTGCCAAGAAAACTATATGGAAGTATTCATGTGCTAATTAGGAAATGAGCATGGGTCAAGTAAGTCACTACCTTTTTGTTTTTTTACTTGTAGAAATATCTCAATCAGAAGAAACAACTGGACTGTTCTCACCTGGAAACAAAATAAAAGGTACCAATATTGGAACTACAAATGTGGGGGTTGGTTGATAATCCTAACTGACTGTGGGAATGCCCCACAAACTTTATATCATATTGCAATGTATTTTGCCCCTTCAGAAGGTTCCCTATATTCCTGCAAGAACTACATCTTGAGGATACTGCTGTACAATAGCTAAACCAGGGGTCTTTAAACTTGGCCCTTTTATGGCTTGTGGACTTCAACTGCCAGAATTCCTCAGCCAGTACACACTGGCTGAGGAATTCTGGGAGTTGAAGTCCACAAGTCATAAAAGGACCAAGTTTGAAGACCCTTGAGCTAAACGATTTAGTTATCCAGCCATGGGCTTAGCCACTCTAGTAATTGCTCATACATAATTTAATTTTATTCATTGTTTGTATTGTACATTTTTAAAATACAGCCATACCTCAGCACTCAACTGCTTTAGAACTCATCAAATTCAGTATTCGATGTGTTTTGAAGCAGAAATCTTGTCCCAGTAGTTGTCTTCCTCCCAGTAATTGACATGCGAGGAAGAACTTGCTGACGTCAGCTTCCCCGTGACTCACTATTTCTTCCAGCAAAAATAGTGGGTCACATGGTTTTCTTGGCACCCATTGGCTTTAGTATTTGTCACATCTTCCAGAATGAATTACCAACAGGTACCAAGATACCATTAATGTGGGAAAGAAATAGAATAACATAGGATAAAGAAGAATAAAGTAAAATAATAATAATAATAATGAAAAATCACTAAAAGCAAAAATCATGTGTCTGCATAATCTCTGAAAGAAAGCTGTGTTAGCCAAAAGCTGTATTAACAGTACGTGAATGACCTAATGCATATTTAGAAACATTGTATAAAAGTAAAAACTGCCTTCATTGTATTCCATGAGAAATGGACCTAAGGTGTGAGAAACTATCTGAATGTTACACAAAGTAGATTCCATATACAATGTAAGATTCCATCTATGCTTCCTTTGTTCCTGAGAAAAAGAAACCTATAAAGCTTTAGTTTAGACCCTCCCCCTTGTTCAGAAATTTGCTGATTGTTAAGTCACTTCTGAACCTTTTTGCGCAAAAATAAAAATCTCTCTTTCACCTTCGGAATTTCATAAAAGCCCTTTATTTTTTTAAGGCTTTATTTTTCCACAAGACCACTGTAATTCACTGTTGTGGTGTTTTATATTTTGATAAACATTTTATACCCTGTTTTTTGAATTTTATGCATTAATGATGTATTCTATTATACCGTACGACATATATAAACAAAGCAATAAATAAAAGCAGAAAGGGTCATTCCCTTTCTAGCCATAGATGAAGTATGGCCGATAAGAGAAACAAGAAGGCAATTTTAAAATCCTGTGCATATTATGGCCAGAGCTTTATTAACTGTCCAAATACTTTTTGAACATTAATATCCAGAATCTTCTCCAAGACAATTGCCAAAAATTGCTGTGGTACAGAATACTGTGGCCAGACTACTGGCACATGAATCTAGCTATTGTATTATAACACCAATTTTTACAATGTCCGATATTGTTGCCAGTAGCTTCTAAGCCCAATTGAAAGTACAAGTCACTTATAAAGCCTGAATGATGTAGCTGTGTTAAATTAGAGCCTTTAGAATTACTGTGTTTGTTCTGGGAGATAAACTGTAAGAAAGGACATGGACTAAGATACAGTCTTTCCTGGGGCTGTCTAAAAATTGTGGAAGGTGTTGATCCAGAGACTTGCCTAATTCCTTTGGTGCTGGAGTTCCATAAACCAACAGAGAGGCTTCTTTTTCATTGGTATTTGATATTCAGAGATGGGGAAGTCGCTGTGGGATATGCTTTGCTTTTTATACATTGGATTGTTTGGGTTGAATCTGTGGGATGTTTAGTATTATTTAGACATGATATTTTACACTGATACTTTAGATTTTAGAATTGTTCGTGTGAGTGATACAGGTGTTTGTAAAATAAAGTAAAAAAAACTATTTTGCAGTAAATAATTTTACATATAGAGGAACTAGGAATTTTGAACATATATCCCGTGGCAGAGAACTTCCAGGGTTTGTCAATTTCAAAGTCTTTGAGGACGCCATAAAATGGCAAATTGAAAAACTAGAGTATCCAGCAATTGCAGTGTTGAAAGAAGTTGCAGGTAAGTTCTAATTTTCATGTTCTCATTTGCATGAGATACTTTTGTGAATGACTAAGAATATTTTGCCCAGTAGTTGCAGTTTTTGGTGTGCATTGTTTAATACAAAAATGTAGGATTTAAATAAGCCCTATTGAATATGATGATGCAAAGTCCTAGAAAAATGTATAATTTTATGAAGGGCTTTTGTGCTTCTTGGGTTGGCAGTGTATGGGCTATGTCTGCTACGTAAGGTCTTCCTGTTGCACTGATGGAAAGGCTGTTCCAAGAATGCTGAAAGTTTCCACTGAAAGATGCAATGCCCCACAAACTCCCCCTTTTATTATGTCTTTGTTCTAATGGAGGAATAGCTCATCTCAAGCTTTCAGTAAAAGGAGCACTGGAGTCTTTAAGAATGAACACCAACCATGTCTGGAGCGTCTACAGGTAATCCTTGAGTTACGACAGATCATTTAGCGATAATTCAAAGTTACAACAAAACCCCAAAGGGTACTTACAATCCAATTCTGAATTACGTCTGTTGCAGCGCCTGTGTGGTTATTCACCTTTAGGTATCTCAGTGAATGGGGGGAAGCCTTGGGAGGCCAGAAACAGGTGTGCTTGTGCTGTACTAGGGCCTCCCCTCAGGCACCCCAGATTCCACTTAACAAATGCATTGGGGAGAGCAGGAATGGGGACCAGTTAAGTAAGGTTTACTTAAAGCCATCTTGACGTCTTACTGTAATGAGAAGGCTCCATTAGGTCATAACTCTAGGATTACCTGTAGTTAAAAACAGTCATCCGAAGTGAACAGGTGATTCCTCAGAAATGCTCCCTTTCCAAAAACTCTCTCAGTCAGGCAGAAAGCCATAACCGTAACCTGAGTTATAACTGTACCTGAAAAGGAAAGGAAAAACAGATGAAAATTCCATAAAGAATTAGGGGTTACTGAGTCTCTACGATTTAGAGCCAGTGTTAAATTGGATATGTGTTAAAACATTTTTGAATACTGTATTTTATGATTTTGTACAAAAGCATAACTCTTTATTTAGCATAGTTTACAGCTATACCAATCCTACAATAGTGTGTTTAATTCTGTTCTGTGATATATACATAGAGAAGATGATCAAGTCCTGGGCACTGGGCTTGAGATGGGATGGACAATAATTAAAATTGTCAACTATGGGGAAACTGGCAAATAATCAATAAAGCCTAGTTTATTATTATTTATTATTTTTGCACAGTGCAATGAGGAAAAACAGTGTTGCTGTATATAAAACAAGAGATTGCAGAAATAAAATGTGTGTTCCGAATTTAAGTAATTTAAGTGTACCAGAGATCAGTTGAAACAATGCTCGCAACAAGAAAAAGCTAGCAATTTCCAGAAGGAGATGCAAGCAATATTATAAGCGATTCAAGAAGCAACCTCCTCTTACAAGGAAGATACAAGGAAAAACCATGAAGAGACAAAAGACAATCTTGATAAAATGAACCCAAAAATTAACAACATAGATTCTCAACTAGAAAACTTTAAACAGATGGTCACAAGAAAAGAATTCAAAAAGTAGAAGATAAGGTACTAGAGACCGACCAACAGTCGGAAGAACTGAAAGATGAGAACCAAAAGCTGATGCAGATTAATAGAGAATTGGAAGACTCGATCACAGTTATGGAAATGGAAAGGGCATCTTATTTCCTAAGATTTCAAAACATAATAGAGGATAAAGAAGAGGATCTCGCGGATCTGATAATGGAGCTATAGGCTGAAGCACTGGAAATTGGAAAACAAGAAATGGGAGGAGAGTTAGATCAAATATTTCGAGTCAATTTAAGCTATGCGAGAAGAAATAAAGTCCCTAGAGAGGTACATGTTAGATTTGTCAAAAGATATAGATCTTTTGACAAATCTAACATGTACCTCTCTAGGGAGATGAGATTTTGAGAAGAGTGAGAGATGATCCTTTGCAATACAAAGAAAGAGATCATATTCCTGAAACAGATTCCAAGGAGAATAAGAGATGTATGAAGAGAATATCAACTCTTGACTAGAAAATTAAGTGAAAAACGAGTGAATTTTAGATGGCTGATTTCAGAAGGGATCCTAATTAATTGGGATGGGAAAAGATACAAATTGAATATGCCACATAAGGCAATGGCAACTTTTATGGAAGGGAAAAGTTCGGAACCCCGTCCAGAGAGAGAAACAAAGAGGAAGAAACGGTAACATATATTAACTGCAGCAAGAATTGTATTCGCTCAATATTGGAAAAATGAAGATCTACCAACGGAGGAAGTGTTAATTAAAAAAATCTTAAAGAGTGTGCAGAAATGGATAGATTGACATTGAAAATGAAAGAGAAAGAAGACTCAGTTTATTTTAGAACATGGGATACCTTTTAGCATTGGCTAGAAAAATGAGGTAGAGAGAAAGGAACTTAATATGTAATGTGTATTATATTAATATGTATATATTGAAATCCAGACAATATGTTGCTGACAATATCAAGCACAGAGGGCAAATATTGAAAAAGAAAAAGCTGTGGTGAAAGATAGCAAGTGACCAGAAGCAAGGCTGCTGTTCCTGCACCTGCTAGTATGCCAAAATGCATCTCTGATTATACAACAAGCCATATGACTTCTGTTCCAAAATAGCTGGTAGCAAAATATTACTGATTTTGCTTGCCTTGAAATTGAGTTGGGAATTTGATTAAGCCAATGTCAGGTGACCAGTCAGGAAGATTGAAACAGGCTTGTCAGGCCATTATGGAGCTGCTTTTAGTTATGATTGGACCTAGGATTGGGAAGACACAGGCTCAAAACCTCATTTAGTTTTTAAGCATGCTGCAAGATTTTGTATCAGATACGGTCTCTCAATAGCTTAATGTGGACAGTTCTTGGTTATGATACTGGAACACTGACACAACTCTATTTTTAATTTAAAATGTAAGATACATAGTTAATATATCAATATTATATTAAAACTATGTTGTACAAAATTGTTCAGATTTTTCCAGGGTCCCTCTCTGAAACACACACATGCTTGACATATTATATTGGACTTAAACAGAGATCTGTAGAAGAAACTTTGTTTTATGCCTAATGTCACACACTCCTCCTGATTTTAACATACATATTTACATAGTTCAAAGGAGGTGTAAGGGCTTTAATCCCAATATCCAAGTGCTGAATGTTCAGTTATTATATGTTGTGTGATTGGGATCTGCCCATATTTTTAGTTGCTCCTGTTATTAAATTGCTCTCTCTTTTTTCCTAGAACTTGTGCAGAACACTTTTCTTCAACTTGCTGTCCAACACTTTAGTAGTTACTATGCTCTCTGCAATGTTGCTCGGGTAATTATTAGCTGTACCTGCAATGAATTTCCAAAAGTGTAGCCATATAGTTTAAAGTGAAAACAATAAAGCACTGCAATAAATTCATTATTTTGGAAGATTTCCTGGATAACTGTCCACTTCAGATGAAGTTGCGTACGTGCATGTCTGACTAAGGAAAATAAAACTTATGTTTATATCCTAGCACAGTTAATTTGCATTGATGGCATGATGGATGGTGTGAATTGACTATAGATTGTAATTTGGTTCACCATCTTGAGTTATCTGCTCTCCAATTAGACTTATTTTCTTTTTTCAGGGTAGAGTAGAACTACAGTCTAAATTGTGCTGTGATCTGTGGGGAAACCCCCCAAACTGTAATTTTACTAAACTCAAATTGTGCTCTAACTCTGTACACTTTAAATGAGCCATCAGGGATAGGATTGATATTCTTATAATTCTCAAACCTCCTGAAAATCATTGTGCTGGGGAATTTTAACACATTTAAATAAAAGTTGGGGATTGGGAAATGCATATAAATTCTGGATGACTAACAGTGATCCACAAAACTTATAATAAAATCTCTGTAAATCAAGCAAAAAGAAGAAAATCCATAAAATAATACTCAAGAAACCATATAATTGTCTCAATCCCACAAATATGCCAAACTGTTTTTTGTTCTGCAGCGCAATATTGAAGATTTAAAGCTCACACAAGAAGAGAAAGCAAAAAATATGATAGCCACTCAGTTTAAACTGGAAAATGTGGTATACTGCCAGGATACTATTTATAGTGAAGATTTTAGAACTGTAAGAGCGACAAAAATCTCTTCGGTTCCTGATATAGCTGGTTTTAAAGAAAAATGCTCAGTGGAGGAATTGCTTTACCACATGACTGCCTACTATAAAGTAAGTTCAATAGTTTGTGAGTGATTTTTCTCTATTTTTAAATCCCCTTTTGTGTATTTCATTTATTTAACCATTAATAGGCATAATTTAGCAGTTTTTAAAACATATCCTTCCCTGAGGTATATCTATGGGTCTCAAACATTCAATACTTATTATTAAATATTTCACTGAAGTAAAAAGTATCTTTTTACTTTTATTAAGATACCCTTCTTTTACAAGTTTTAAGTGAGCAAAAATGAAAAGGTTTCATACAAGTAGTTAGGGTGCAGTATTTGCATCATCAAATAATTAGCACAGGTTATGTAGGGCTAGTAAATATCAGCTTAACAGGTCCATATGAATCATATGACAGCCTGTGGACAGAAATATCTTGACATATGTTCAAAACACATGTATATATTTACCACATGCACACACATACATATTGACAAGAACTGCTTTGCTTGGGGCCTTCTGAGATGGGTGGAATGCAGCAAAGACACCGGATTTCAGCTTTGAGGTTTTCTTCAGGTTAAATTAAATTTTTAAGCCACAGTTTTTCCAAACACTAAAAGAGTGTATATGTGAAGAGTAGAATTATTTGAACCGTGGGAAATAATTCTTCCCCTCTACGCTGTTGAGACTGCACTTGAAATGCTATGTCAGTGCTGGGTACCAGAGTTCAAAAAAGACCATGATAAATTAGAACAGCGGTTCTCAACCTATGGGTCGCGACCCCATTTGGGGTCGATCGACCTCTTTTTGGGGGTCGCCAAAGGTGGCGATCCGCCATTTTGTCCCCTCCGGGGGCACGCTGTGCCTCCGGGGGGGCGGTGCCGCGCACGCGCACCGCATGTGGGGGCGGCGGCGCGCCTCCGGGGGGCGCCGCCGTGCATGCGCGCCGTGCATGGGGGTGGCGGCGCGCCTCCGGGGGCGCTGCCGCACATGCGTGCCGCACGCAGGGGCCCCGCCCCCATGCGTGCCGCGCACGGGGGGCGCCGCCGCGCATGCGCGCCGCACGCGGGGCCCCGCCCCCATGCGCACCACCGCCGCGCATGCGCATAACCTTTGTGTGACGGGGTCGCCGTCACACAAAGGTTAAGAACCGCTGAATTAGAATAAGGTCAGAGGGGGCTACCGATACAGTGAGGTGTCTGAAAACGGAGCTATACGAGGAACATCAAATGATATTTGGGCATGTTTACCCAAAAGAAAAAAAATTGAAAAAAACGTAATAACCTTTTAAGTGTCTAAAGAGTTCATTTGAAGACGAAAGGAGCTCTATCTGCAGTCTTTACATCTATGATATTGTGAGAACAATTCATGTGAACTTGCTGGCACCAGCTTGCTGTGCTCCATCCATTTCATGAAAGTCCATGTAAACAGAATTGCAGCTTCTGTAAGAGTGGTATTTATAGGATTTATAAATGTTTTGTGGGGCCCCTTTCACTTTCTTTTCTCTGCTCCTCAGTACAGAAACATTGTTAAATATATTCCATTCTTGCAATGTTGAAGCTGCAAGATAGGACATTTTAGTGAGCATCTGCAAGAGACGAGTCTAACTTCCTGTTCTCTATTAAGGAGTTGAATATGGGACAGTACAGATAGTCCTTGACTTATGACCACAACTGTGACCACAATTTTTGTTAAGTGAGGCAGTTGTTAAGTGACTCACTCAGTTTTAGGATCTTTTTGCCATGATTGTTAAGCGACCACTTTAGTTGTTAAGTGAATCATGCAGTCAGTAAGCGAATTTGGTTTCCCCTATAGACTTTGCTTGCCAAAAGCTAGCTGGGAACGTCACAAATGGTGATTACATGACCGCAGGACATTACAATTGTTGTAAATACATGCCAATTGCCAAGCACCTACATTTTGATCATGTGACTGGGGGGATGCTGGGTTGGTTGTGTGAGGATTTTTTCAGTGCCGTTGTAACTTTGAATGGTCATTAAATGAATGGTTGTAAATTGAGGACTATGTATATCTTCTGCCAGGGTGGTGGTGGTGGTGATGGTAGGTGGTAGGCATCTCTCAACAGAAACAGCTTGATTTTCATTTCGTGATGGGGTACAAATTCACAGGGGACAAGGCTTTAGTACAAACCTTAACACAGTGGAGAGAGATTATGTCTCCAACCATTTATATTATCCTGGTATAATTTTCTTTTCCCTTAACTTTGCTTTCAGAGTGTAAAAGTCCGGCTTGGTACTCAGATTCCTATGATCATACAGTTATACGTGTTCAGGGATTTTGCTGAGAGGTTACAGAATGCAATGATGCAGGTTTTGCAAAGCGGAGATCAGCTGGAAATTCTCTTTCGTGAGGGAAGGGATGTGGTCAACATAAGGAATTCTTTAAACGAAAGGATCGGGCGACTTCATAAAGCTCGACGACTTTTGAAACAATTCTTTATTTAAATAGAACGGCTAATATTTCTGTAAAAAAACTTCAGGTAGCAGCTCTGCTTCTGTTAGATTAGTATATTAAGGGTATTTGTAACTTATGCTTAAACATTTGTAAAATTATTCAGTGATGTTGCCCAACTTAAATAGTGCATTTAGAACCACAATTGGCAAAGAAAAGTGAAGAGAATTAGAATTTGTATTTGCTACTTTACATGCACAGTATAAATCACTGTTACTGTGGACCTTTTCCTACTATTGAGTCAAATGCTAACTGCACTCTCTTTTACACACACACACACACAAACACGCACACACAAACACACACACACAGAGAGAGGGGGGGGGCAGGGAAGTGCAATTGCCTCTCTCTGTCTCTGTCTCTCTCTGCAAAGGCAGAGGAGGCTGGGAGCCACAGGGGAAGGCTCAAAGAGCCGCATGCGGCTCTGGAGCCGCAGGTTGCCAACCTGTGTCCTAGCTCTAGTACTGCTTTGTACTTCTGATATCTCATTATTGCAACAACTTATTCTATGTAACAAAATTTAAACTTTATTACTGTCTTCAGATTGGTAATGAAAATCCACACAAGACAAAACATTAAACAGAATTCAATGACAAAGTCATAGCTTGACATTACATGTGAGAGATGTTCTTAGAAACATAATATGAACATTCCAGATCAATCTTCTTTGTGATTTGAATTCAATTATTCTAATGAACATCCGAGTAAGATCTGCAACTTACTTCCACCAAAGATATTACCTGAAATTAACAATTTCTCACATGAAAATGTGTTTATTCCAGTGAAAAATAAAACCTGTACATCTCATTTAAGGTTACATTTTGGAGTGCAAAAATAAAATACAGTATGTTGAAAAAGAGGAGAATTTGTAATATGCTTTGCAATCCCAAACAGTCTGCTAGTTAGAGTGTACTGTGTATCAGTGGTTCTCAACCTGTGGTCCACGGATCCTCGGGGGGGGGGGTAGGTGTCTGAGGAGTCTTGAAAAATATTATGATTTAAATCTTAAGTCTTGGAGGTCCATGGCCACAAAAGGGGGCTTGTGGTGAAGAAAGGGTTGAGAACCACTGGTGAATATAGTTTATCATTAGCATAGTAAAAACACAGCCAGAGATAGTCAATCTATATGACAATAAAGTAGAATTAATAGTATAATGAGATGGTTTATATGCATGTGTAACTGTCATGTAACTTTGTAACCAGTCAGCAATTCTTTGTTTCCTGTAGTAAATTGTATAAAAATAGCTGTGCCTGATTTCTGGCATGTTCCCAGGGTGTGAAACCCACAGGCATCCCCCCCCCCTTCTGCTTCGGTAGAGAAATAAAGCTTTGTCTTTCCTCAATCCTGTGCGGACATTGGCTTCTTCACACTGAGTTCCCCTACCTAGCCAGCCTTCTGACCAACACTGCTTGCTTGAATGGGAATATGCACACCTGTCCTTCAGATCTCCCAGCTGAATATGGGGAAGTCGGAGAGTAGGAAATGCATACCTTACTTTCAACCCAACATGTGTTCAAGCAAAAGAGGAATGTAATCAAAACAGATACAGGAATTGCAAATTTTGTGGCCAGTATGAGTTGGTGGACTTGACACGGCTTGTGGTGTAAATTGGAGCTGCACCGTGGCTAGAAGCAGTGCAGCTGCATTGTAATTAGCCTTAAATAAGCCACTTCCTCTCAACCATCCCACCCTGTCCAAATCTGCAGCCTGAGAATAACAACACTGACTGAGCAAATGGCACCAAGGGAATTTTAAGTGACAACCAGGGAGAGGACGGTTCTTTAATGAAGCTCTAGAGTCACAGAACATCCTCCCTAGGTAATTAAGATGTTTTTTATCTTTAAGGCAGAAGGTCAAAGAGCATTTAGTGAAAAAATAAAGGACACCCTGTCTTTATTGTGCTTTCTGGTTTGATATAATTTTTACCCTACTTTACTACTACCATATCTATTTTTAAAACTTGTTTATGTGAGCATCAAGTATAAATCGTACTTGGAGGTTTTTTTAAACGAGAATAGCAAGAAGTTTCAAATTTTCATTCATTCTACTCATTCATTTTGTATAGTCTCCCTTTTCAGTCAATAACTCTGGATGGCTTACAATTATTTTAATTGTAATTATAATCAAGATAGATGATTAGATAGATAAGAGAGATTAAAATTGCTAAAACATTTTAAAACAAAAACAAAACAATAAAAACATTCAGATTAAATATACAGTATACAGGAGCAAGGTATTATTGGCCAGTTAGCAATATGGCCAGAAAACAGGAGCTTTTACATTCAGCACTTCAAGCCTGGGAACATAGCCAGGTTTTTAAGACCTTATGAAAAGCTAAAAAGATTGGGCCATTCTAATTTCCCATGGGAGGATATTCCATAGAGCAGGGGCCACTGATGAAAAAGCTTGTTGTCTGGTCCCTGCCAGCTGATACTCTTTGGCTGATGGGATCTGCAACATGCCCACTCTGGTTGAACAGGTAAGAGACTCTTGGAAAAAAGTAATCCCTCCAGTATAAGAATATATAAGAATAGCTAGAAATAATAGTTTGTGAAGGGCTTTGAACCCTCTAGAAGTTTTCTTACCCAGGTTCCCTTCATATATGTTAAAGATCAACCTCCCATGACACCTCAGGTAGCATCACTAGTAGCCTTACTGATTGGGAAGAGTTTCACAAGAGTTGAAATCCAAAGTGCCTCCCACCCACAAAAGCCTATTGATATATTGTATTTGCATTTGCATGTGTATGTGTATCATGCATATCAAATTTTCAGTAATGTTAATCTAGGCTTTGTTTTTGGTTTAAAAACATTTTTAACCACTATGCTGAAACATGTTACTTGAACCGAAGAGAGAGCATCGCTTTTGTCCAGAAAAAAAGCAGAAAACTTTATACGACCTGTAGGAAGAAAAGATCCAGCTCACTAATTCACTTGGAATGGAGAAGAATTTGGCACTGACAGCAATTGCTGTCATTGAAGATCAGAAAAAGCTCAATTCTATAAACCTTGTCTGGAGTCTGGGCAAGCATAACTTGCCAATGGAAATATGGGAGGCAAGACCACCCTATCCTTGGATCTTTATACTGGAGACAGAATAATAATAATAATAATAATAATAATAATAATAATAATAATAATAATACTAATAATAATATAGTAGTAATAATAAAAGTTGGAAGGGACCTTGGAGGTCATTGAGTCCAACCCCCTGCTCAGGAATGAAACCCTACACCATTTCGGACAAATGGCTGTCCAGTTTCTTCTTAAAAACTTCCAGTGTTGGAGCATTCACCACTTCTGGAGGCAGGTTGTTCCATTGGTTAATTGTTCTAACTGTCAGGAAGTTTCTCCTTAGTTCTAGGTTGCTTCTCTCCTTGATCAGTTTCCACCCGTTGCTTCTTGTCCTGCCTTCAGGCGCTTTGGAAAATAGCTTGACTCCCTCTTTTTTGTGGCAGCCCCTGAGATATTGGAACACTGCTATCATGTCCCCCCTTGTCCTTCTCTTCGTTAAACTAGACATACCCAATTCCAGCAATTGTTCCTGATATATTTTAGCCTCCAGTCCCCTAATCATCTTTGTTGCTCTTCTCTGTTACTCTTTCTAGAGTCTCAGCATCTTTTTTACATCGTGGTGACCAAAACTGGATGCAGTATTCCAAGCGTGGCCTTACCAAGGCATTGTAAAGTGGTATTAATACTTCACGTATACTTCACGTATAGTCATCACTTGTTAGCAAGTCATCACTGATGTCAGAACAGAACTGACAAATCTTCTGGGATGAAGCATATTTTTGCCCCTCTTCTGTTAACACCATTTAAAATGCACAATCTGCTGAAATCTTTATGCATATATTGTATTTTCTTTATTCATCTTTATTCACACTCCCTGCCCCAGTTCTCAGTCATTTCAGGGAGTATCTGCACTACATTTGATGAAAACCAAGAAGGAAGGAAGGAAGGAAGGAAGGAAGGAAGGAAGGAAGGAAGGAAGGAAGGAAGGAAGGAAGGAAGGAAGGAAGGAAGGAAGGAAGAAGAAAGAGGCAAGCAAGCAAGAATGAAGGAAACTACAAAATCAATATTGTATAAAACATTTATTTTTCAAGTTCTTTGCAGATGAGACAAAGAATGGTGTGTTTCATTCTTGAAACGTAAAAAATCCAAATATTTATTAACTGAAATTGTGATCAATAATAATTATGCATAATTTATGTTGATTTCATATATTGCAATACATTTAATGTTTTCAAAACCATTTCAATGGCACTTCACTTTACTTACAAAAGTATTGCACTTCCAAAACCTGAAGTGAATTTTCCCACCAACAGATATATTTTAAAAAGTGCATTTCAATAGCAGCATAATTCATTACATCCAAATAAAATTTTACTGCTGCAATAGCAGTCTTTTTTAATTTGACACACTCCTAACATGTCAATGATTGATGGTTATATTAATCAATTTTTTAAATTTAAAAACTTTGCTTCTGCTTTCATTATCAAAATGATAAACAGGATTTTTAAAGAAAAAAACCCAGACCAAGACTTTTCCCTGACCCATCCCAATTTTGTCACTGTTTTACAAAATGAGGTAGAACTGACAGATTCAATCAGTATGTAATGCACCTTCACAAAATAACTCTCTATTCCCTGCTATTGACTTCAGGTTTAGCAGCTGAGGATCCATCTAGCACATATCCAGCTACCACAGCAGAAGCAGAATTATTGACCTTTTAGAATACTTATTTTGTTCATTCTGCATCAAAGATATGTGCCTAGAAATTAGTATTTCTGTTTTCTAGACTAAACTGATCTTGAATCTATCCACACATTTTGAAAGAGACATATATTCAAATTATATAGTTTCAGAATCATTAACACCTATGGGCGAATAAAAATAATGAATACCTGAATACAAAAGATGCATAGTAATATTCATAAGAAAAAAATCTTTCACATCTTACATCAAAATATTCATGTGGTTCTTTCTCGCTTTAAAAAATTGGGCTGACCAGCAGCCCAGATATACTCAACATTAATATCCTAAATATTAAATATCATTTATAAAATATTGAGATGCTGCATTTGATTTCAAAAGCAAAAACAGAATTGATAATTTACAAACATTATTTTTAACTTTAAAATGAAAGCCAACTGGTAGGAAATCTTCAGAGATAAAGGAAACCAACCAGTAGTTGGTAAAGAAAAATGTGTTCTTTCACCTTTGATGGTTAACACCAGATTCAAGAAATCAGGTTCTTCAACTGTCTGATATGAAGCTGGGCGGTGCAAATGGAACCATTACATTGCAAACATTCCCATTACAGTTTGCATATGAAGTGCTGAGGGCTCAGAAGTCATTTTTGGAAGCATAACCAAGGATTTACAAGGAACAAAAAGATTTGTTCCACTCTTGACTAAAAGTGAGTCAAAGGAAGCAATGTCATCTGTTTGCCTATTAGGAAAAACAAATAAACAAGCATATTTAAGAGATTCCTTTCCAAAAATAGTCAGTTTCAGGATTGGTGACATATTCAAGGAGACAGTCGGAATTATAATAAAGTCAGTGAGCATCCAGCAAAATGGTCTTTTATGTCCAGATTCATGAACATATTTCAGCCATGTATATATGAACACAGAGCCATCATTTCTGCAACGTGGAATTTTAAACTCCTAGTACTTGAAAATCATAAATCACTATAGGCAATAGAAAAAGAGTATATTTGTATCTATGTGCATGCAACCTTGCACCCTCAAGTCAATGTTGACTTCTGGCAACTGCCTGGACTTGTCCTTGCAGTTTTCTTGGCACAGGTTTCAGAAGTAGTTTGCCACTGCTTCCTTCCTAGGGCTGGGAGAAGTGACTAGCCCAAAGTCACTTATTAGGCTTTGCGCCTAAGATAGGATTAGAACTCAAAACCTCCCAGTTTCCAGTCTGTAGCCTTAACCACTACACCAACTGGCTCTGTATGAGAGCATGCATTGGGGAATTCCTTCTCCACCTAGCAAGGAATATGCTCCATAGGAATTGTGTCTACCTTATGATCATATAAATTTCCATTGCAAATTTTATTTGATAAATTATGCCAAAGAATCACATGCCAGGAAAGCCACATGTCACAGAAGTGGACAAATTTAATTCTAGAGTGGAAGGAAAATTCCAACATTTTTGATGGGTTTAGTGTGCAAGCACTTACTATGTTTCCCACAATAAATTAAAAAATAAGTTACAGATACAGGTGTAGCATGAGACATGTTGTTATGCAAGAACAGAATGGGAAGATATAAAGCCTGGGAAAGAGCAGCCAGACCTAAGTACCCGAAGCAAGTTCTAATTTTTGGTT